AAAGTGGTCTTGATATGGTCTTGAATTACCTTACGATTGGGTTTAATTCAAATGAGTTACTCTCTTTAAATAAAGATATTATTATCATTATTATTATTATTGAGTTAGTATTTACATACAATACCATTTATACAATTATTTTTCTTAAAGGTTTATTAATTTCACCGAAAAATATTGTTAGATATGAGAAATATCAACATTTTTTGTTGATCTGGTCTTTATTATTTGTAGCGAAATCCGTCAGCTCAACATTTTTTTTTTACTGTAAAGTTTGTATTTCATATATATTAACAATTTTGTTGATCTCGCAGATTTCTTAGTTTCACGAAGAAAAAAAATATTTAAAAACAAAAGAGATATTTATAACACTTTTTGTCGATCATTTCAGTATAATCAAAGCGTACATCGGCGAATGTGAAATCCGTCCGGTCAACTTTTTTTTTTAGAAAAACATTTTGTTTTACTATGAAGTTTAAATTTTCATATAAGATAACTATTAATCTCGCAGATTTCTTAGTTGTATGAAAAAATATTGTAAAACAAAAGAGATATTACTAGTAACACTTTTTGTCGATCAGTTCAATATTGTAAAGCGTACATCAGTGAGTGTGAAATCCGTCCGGTCAACTTTTTTTTGTTAGATTTTCATAAAATATAGTCTAATATTTCTAAGGTCTTCAAATATTAAAATAATCTATCAAATAACAAAAAAAGTTTTGACTATTTATATCTCATCCGGTCAATACGGGCAATTGTCCTGTCATTAGTGTAACCCAACTGTTGGCAGCGTGTTGTCGCGATGCGGTATGTGGGAATATACTGGAAAAAATAACAATATACCAAGAGTAACAGCATGTAAGCGTACAGCTTCCGGAATTTGTAGTTTTCTGTCCAACAGAGGGATGTAAATAAGAACAATGAGTTTCGATGTTCCTTTGGTATCAAACGCCTCTCTCTCTCTCTGTTTCTTTTTTTTTTGGGAAGTGGGGTATGGGGGGAACAAACACATGAACACAAGTGATTCGTAGAGTAATTATATTTGTTGAAATATCAAACGTCATGTTAGAATTAAGAATAACGCCAGTTAAACATCACTGTAAAAGAAGCATACAAAATTTTACATCGGTTGCTGGCTGTCGAAATCAAAGAAAATTTAGCACCGTATTATATAGTACATTATACGCAATCTTCCTTGAATGCTTTGTACAGGCTTACATAATTTGGGCACAAAAAAAAAATCATATTTTGTAGTATTTCTTCAAACTGTCAATTATAGCGAACTGTACGACCAGCAAGTTAAAAAATAAGGCCGCTAGACGTCAGAGCAATCTGGGAATATCAAACACTATGCCTAGTTATTTTTGTACTATTGATGACCGTACTACCTACAACAACAACAAAAAATCCACACTGTATATTTGGCTTTACAAGACTCCAACAAGAGAAATATTTAACACACACACGCACATGTATTTATGTAGAGTAACATGTCTTTCAGAGTGCTAATCTGTAACCATCACATTAAGGTCCGTCTTGTGAAAGAGTATTCATCTCATATAGAAAAAAAAATTGTGCTGATATTCATGTAATATTTGCCACTGAAAGTTTTGCAAAAATCAAGAAAAAAACGAAAACAAAAACAAAACAAAGACTAGTAATTAAGATGTAGGTTCGTGTTCAGATCACTCAATGTGATCACTTGCCTGTCAACAAACAGTGATATAGGGAGATTGTCAGATTCCGATCATGACTGTAAAGGACAACCATTTGTTTAATACAAAGGTAGCTGATTTACTCTTGAAACTTTGATCTTTAGAAAAAAAAACGGCCAACATGATATAGCAGAGTGCTGAAAGTGGCACACACAATCAATCAGTTATTTTCAAATTACCTATCATTAATCAGTTTTGGCAAAAAAAGTATAAAGGCTATACCATACTGAAACATAAATGTGATAAAAGAATATACAATTCAAGAAAGAGAGGTGCACCAACAGAAAATAGAAACTGCAATCTTTCTTTTAATTTCATCCGATCTCAGATCTCAAAATTTTAACTCTTACCAGAATTTCTTCTATCTTACAGTATAACTCTGAAGTTTCTAAGTGGAACTCGAGCTTTAACTAGAACTCTTACTCGAATAAACATTCGAACTAAAAATAAAACTGGAACTTTAACTCTAAATTTAGCTGGAACTCGAATTCTTATTTTACATCAAAGGTTATCTACACTCTCATTTGTCATCTGATACAAAAATTCGTAAGGGTTCCACGGAACCCAGTGTCTCGCCTACTTTTGCTGTTAATCGCAGGCTCAACAAAAATGAGGAAAAAAATCAATAAAAATATTCCTCTCGATATTATCTTTTGATTATAAGAAGCTTCTGTCCAAGTTTGGTTTAAATCTAGGATAGTTTATGGATCTAATAAATGTTTTAAAAACTTTAACTGCATACTGTATGTAATGTTAACTGGAATAAAAACTAAGTCCATTTATAAGTAAAATACGGATAAACAGGTACAAAATTTTGACAAAATTTCCTTCGAGATACAAGCTTTTGATCATAAACAAGCTTCTGTCCAAGTTTGGTACATATCCAGGATAGTTTAAGAAAGTTATTGAAATCTTAAAAACTTTAACCACAGAGTGAATGTATTGTTTCCTGGCAGAAAAACTAAGTCAATTTATAAGTAAAATACGGGAAAAAAAAGATTTTTTTTTACAAAATTTACTTCTGGATACTATCTTATGATCATAAACAAGCTTCTGTCCAAGTTTGGTAGAAATCCAGGATAGTTTAAGAAAGTTATTAAAACTTTAAAAACTTTAACCACATAGTGAATATTTGTGGACGCCGCCGCCGCCTCTGCCTCCGCCGCCGACGACGACGACGCCGACGACGGAATGTAGGATCGCTATGTCTCGCTTTTTCGACTAAAGTCGAAGGCTCGACAAAAAACTAGAGTTAGATGAAATATATCGATATTTCCACAGAAACACGGATAGATGTAGCAGAACAAGAAAAAAAACTAGATCCGTTTATGACAAATTAAAAGATTTTTTTAAATACATCAACTGGGAACATTATATGTTCCTGATATCAATATGGCGATGTGTATTTCATTGTCAATTTACTCTAAATTATCAGATGCATAGTATTTCTCATAACATACCAACGTTGAGCGATTAATCGAACGGTAATAAAATATACGTAATACATAAAGTTTTAATACACAGGCGATGAACATTGAACATATTATGTACAATGAACATGCAACGATGTATGAAAAATGGGTGCGGGATGATAGAACTCAGAAAAAAATTTGGTTTCCGCAGTTCGAATAAATTATGAAGCGTTGTGTAATTACGGAACCAATTTTAAATTCCTACCGAAAATAGGTTTCTTTTAACGTGCTGAGTTTGTGGCATTTTTAACACGGCATTTCAGGTTTTATCTTCCCGGTGCGAATGGACAAGCTAGTGAAATTATGGTAACGAATTTTTTCTGCCTGCAGTCTAAAAGGAACGTGTTACTTTTCAGCCCTTCAGTCTTCCGAGGTAGAAGATTCTTTTTCTGGAAGCCGAAAATTATTTCTATAATACGGCATGAGGCAAACATTCGTTTTCCACATACAACAAATGCAATTTAAAAAATGAGATGACTTCAACTTTGACAATTACTTTATTATAAACTGTTCAGTATTGTATCTATGTTTAACGATTCGATAGATTGATAAAGATATCAATGAATAATCAAAATACCTTAAAAAATGTTCAAAAATTATATTATATTTTGTAGTGAAAAGGTTTAATTCAACCTAAGCGTTGCAAGAAATGCTGTTATGCCAGCAACGTCGTTCTATAACGTTAAAAGGATATAGTTCCCGCCAAAATTCAATAATAAAGATTATTTCCGTTTTAGCGGATTTAAAACATCGGTGACCCCCCTTTTTTATTTATGCTTTTAAAATCTTCCCTGAAGCAGCAACTTATGCAGAAGTTTGAAGGGAAAAACATTAGTAGATTTTTTTTATTTCAAGAAAAATCTATTATTAATAGCAATTAAAAATGGCGGGAAATGTTCAAATGCCTTCAAAAATAAGGAAACCGAGACAAATAAATGTTCATAAGGTATAAGTTACATTTGACTGTTTTTGTTATTCCAGTTAAACATGGTTTTTCAATAAGTTTGTCTTTTTCTAACAATTTAGAGCGGTATTTCTATATTTCGTTATAACGCTATTCTTTAAGTTTTGATGACGTCATATCTCGAAAACAACATCGGTGACCCCAATTTTTTTTTCGCCTAAAATATCTTAATATGTATGATCTGTCTACATGCAAAATTTCAATGAATTATTATTAGTAGTATAAATAGTGTGATTTCCCTTTAAAGAGAATAATTAATCCAGTCAAATTTACAGCTGAACTCGCCATTGCTTTTTTAAACAAACACACTAAATGACACTAAATGTGTGTACATTCTGTTCAGATGCATGTTGACATCGATGTGCAAGACCAAAAAACTACAATGTCAAAAAATGTCTTTCTTTTGGAATTTAGTTCAAACGGGGTTTCCTAAGGGGTGACAGAACGTTAGACTTGGGTTTTTTTAACTTTGAGATACGTATTGACCCAATGGCATGTTATAAAAAGAAAATAAAAAAATTTCCAAATTGCCGCCAAAATATTTTTTCCGCGAAATTAACGCAATTTCAGAATGGCGGGTTTTAATATCAGTCCCATTGTTGTCTTAAGAAAGTAGCAACGGTCGGTTCTAAGGGCTTGCCAGGAATAAAAAAGAATATGACAGGGATAAACATATGTTTGTGAGCGCTCAACCCTCCCCTAGCCTATGCAGTGTGGACATGTAACAGCACAGCATCAGAACAAGCTGTAAAAATCATTAGGAAATGACTGACTCTTCAGACTTGCTAGAAGCACAATATTACAACTAAAATAAATGCAAAAGACACAAATTATTAATCTAAGAGTACTCACAGTTTTTTAAAATATCTCTGTCTTACAAACATCTTCATATACTGCTTATTAAAGTCATAACCCAGTCCATATTCCTTTAGTTTTCTTTAACCCTGCGACATTTATGGCTTCTACACACAAATCTTGTTGATTGTGTAGAACGTCAAAGGTCCATGGTAACGTCACCATACTGAGGGCACTGAAAACGTCAAAGACGGCGCCAAAAGTACGATTTTGGCGGGAATGAAGCAAATTGAATAAAATGCATTATTTGCAGTTCTGCCAACTTTTAATTATGCAAATTCGTGAGATTTGGCCAAAATCGTAAAGATCAAAGAGAAAAAACAATAGATCAAAGGAAAATGCCGCCAAATAAGCATGAAAATGCGTAAGTCTCACGCTAAATGCATAATAATTTGTATACTTAAAACGGATGTCAAAAAATGATACAGGATCATAAGCTTGTTAGTACTATAATCCCAATTTATTTAACGTGTTTACTAATTATCTAGTTCGTCATTTTCATGTAAAATGTTGCATATTTTCGAGAAATTTGTTAAACGTTTTTTTCATATATCTTTCAATCAGAATATCTCATATAATAATCGCATTCCTAATAAATAATTTTAAGCAATAAGTGGTCAACAAAATAATAATAAATATGATTGAAAAATAAACAAAATGAATATGGATAGTTATGTCTATAAAAATTATTTTCTCGCCTACCGAAACAAGGCTTAGAATGAAAATTTTAATCTGACACGTTTGATACTTTACAACAAGAAGTAGTTCATAGAATCGGCTGCTCGGAGTTTTTATTTATTTTTATTTGTACACGCATTGTTTTTATTTTTATTTTTATAGGGGGCCGTTGTTTTGTTTATATAATTATTTGAGAGATTTTTTTACGGTATTTATCAATATTATAACAAGGTTTACTTCATATGATGAAGACATAATCTTTCAATTAGTTTAATTGAGGTCTGGAGCTGGCATGTCAGTAACTGCTAGTAGTCTGTTGTTATTTATGTATTATTGTCATTTTGTTTATTTTCTTTTGTTTCCTATTCTGACATCGGACTCGGACTTCTCTTAAACTGAGTTTTACTGTGCGTACTGTTGTACGTTTGTTTTTTCTACATTGGCTAGAGGTATAGGGGGAGGGTTGAGATCTCAAAAAACATGTTTAACCCCGCCGCATTTTTGCGCCTACCCCAAGTCAGGAGCCTCTGGCCTTTGTTAGTCTTGTATCATTTTTAATTTTAGTTTCTTGTGTATAATTTGGAGTTTAGTATGACGTCCATTGTCACTGAACTAGTGTACATGTTTGTTTGGGGGCCAGCTGAGGGGCGCCTCCGGGTGCGGGAGTTTCTCGCTGCATTGAAGACCCATTGGGGGCCTTCGGCTGTTGTCTGCTCTATGGTCGGGTTGTTGTCTCTTTGACACATTCCCCATTTCCATTCTCAATTTTATTAAGCTAATCGGATAACAAGGATAAATATATTTTAGTATTTTAGAGGTGGTTAAAAATCAGTTATGCATTTCACTTGACAAAGATTAAACAAAAGCACTTATAAAGCTAGTAGCAATGGGTATATTATTTTCATTTTTTTTAAAGACAAGAAAGATAAAAAAAAAACTACATTTCAAGGTTAAAAGTTGTATTTTTAAATAATTAATATTGTAATTTGTCCAAGACTAACACCGCTAATTCGCAAAAACATTGCAGCAATACGTAAATTGTAATTTCTTATGTTATATCATTATCCTTTAGACAAGCAATGGTTTAACAGTGGACAGCATTTCTCAAATAGTTTTCTTCTCTATTCTCCAAAAATATAACAAAGAGGTGACCTCTCAACGGGTATTTTTAAAATCATTATTTTTAATGTCGGAAAATTATACTGTCAAACTTTACAATCTGTTGCGCTACTACAGTACAATTATAGTTTGCCAAATTCATAAAATTCCTAACATGTGTATTCCATTGTGTGTTCATCGTTTGCTCTATCACATTGATCAATGACTTTGAACAGAAATCCACTACCAGTCAATTTTTGGCGACTAACTCTCTATCAAGAACATCATATTAGGACAAATGTAGAACACCCATATATACATTTAAACATTGGTTGCAATGAATTACATTGATTTCCCAGTGAAATAAAAACCGATAATTTCGCATGTGAAATAAACGTGGTTATTTCACTCCTCTGACGTCATACAACAATACAGTCAGAAAGCTGACCCCGGTTTGACCCCATTTCTTAAAGCAACAATGGAAGTCATGTGACTACCATATTTGGGCATTTTTTGGGTCATTTTTTCCTCAACTGACAGTCGGAAAGCAAACCCTTAGAAACGACCGTTGTTGCTACTTTCTTAAGACAACAATGGGACTGATATTAAAACCCGCCATTCTGAAATTGCGTTAATTTCGCGGAAAAAATAATTTGGCGCCAATTTGGAATTTTTCTTTTTTTCTGTTTCTTACTTGCCATTAGGGTCAGAAATAGATTTCTTTCGATTTTTCAAGCATGGTTCTTATTATCAAAGAAAATAATACTTAAACATGTTATAAATTGTCCGTCTTTTAAAAATAACGTAATGCCTTTGGTCGTCGTTTAAGAATTATGCGAAATTGTCTGTTATTTTTTTCTTCTTTTTTTTTCCAGATAAACAAAGAATATACAAACTATATAAAAAATTAATAATAAGTATCTCAAAGTTAAAACAAAAATCAAGTCTAACGTTCTATCACCCCTTAGGAAACCCCTTTCGAACTAAATTCCAAACGAAAGACATTTTTTGACATTGTATTTTTTCTATCTTACACATCGATGTCAACTTGCATCTTGACACAATGTACACACATTTAGTGTGTTTGTTTGAAAAAGCAATGGCAAGTTCAGTTGTGAATATTTGACTGGATTAATTATTCTCTTTAAGTCAGTGAATTGTTTGACTTAACTAAAACAAGGTAAGGAAATCGTATACTGTCTTTACACAACCTTAACCAAAACTCATTCATCGTTTATAATATTATAAAAAAATTTGTGATGAAGTAATCCTGCAAAACTGCCAAAGGTAAATGAAAAAGTCTTGTCCTAAATATGAACTTAAAACAATCTCTTTCAGACTAGCATTTTAATCACTCTTATTCAAAGCATGTTCATACTGACATGAAGTGTGACTTACTTATGACTTGTGATCTAAAACATAATATTGTTGACTTAGCACTCAGAATCTGCTCTGAAATACTTTTATATAAATATAACAATGCATAATTGTTAAAAAAATTAAATAGAAGAAGAAAAATATTAGACCCAGTCTTTTTTGTTCTTATCTATTTTCAAGTTCATGATTAGAACCATTTATTTATTGGTTTAGTGTGTTTTTTTTTATAATTTGAGTCCATTCATTAGAATCTGCATGGAATCAGTGAGACAAAATTTATTGTTATATTTAGTTTGTTCATACAAGAATTGCAAGCTAATTTCCTTTTATTTCAAATAATGAAGAATTTACATTCAGAATACTTTCATTATGGTCTCGTTTAAGTTTAAATGTAAAAGGTATGATCAGGTATCAGTAATGAAAAGGAGTTCCTGTATTTGATCATTTTAATCCTGTCTTGATCCATTATTCATGAATATTTTGGCTACCCCTTGTATGATTAAAGTAGAAATTTATTTCTGTGTTGAAATAATTTGGTTACAGCAGTATAAATACTTACCAAAATATAAATATTGAATTAACTCTTGGAATAATAATATTATGGCACATACTGACATAGGACCTATTTGAGTATTTCACTGAGACTGAGTTCTGAAAAGTGATAAAATGTGTTTCGCTAATTTTTTTGCACATGTCTTCAGTATCAAAATATATTCAATAAAATTATTTTAATAATATCCTCATGTAAATAACAGCATATGGTGCTTAATATAATGATAATAGTTTGATCATGAGAGTGTCAAACAAAGGGACGTAACTCGTAAATTACTATCGGCCCCGCTTCGTCAGAAATATCGACACATCGAAGTGGCACATTTGCGTATTACAGCGTATTAAGTGGCACAAATTTGACATATCATAGTCAAAGTTATGTTACATAACATAATTTAAATTCAGCATAGCTTCCCGAGAAGTTAAGAAAGAAAATTACGATTTTAATTTCCAGTGACCGATTTTTTTGGTCAACACCTAGACTTTGAAGACACATTTTGAGAGAAAAAATTAGTTTAATCCATAATTGAGTGGATCAATATATTTCTTATATACTCAAGAATGTTCACCTAGAAGCAAATTAGTTTTAATTCATGCAAAAAACTACAAATTCCAAAAAACGGGCTTCACTTTTTTTGGTAAAAAAATGCCCATATATGGTAATCACATGACTTCCATTGTTGCTTTAAGAAATGGGGTCAAACCGGGGTCAGCTTTCCGACTGTGAAACGACTCTGTTTCCTCCAAAAAGTCATATCAAATGAAACCAAAGCATGCTGTACGTTACAAATGCCAATTGTGTATACTTTTTAGAAGTTCTCACATAAAAATTGTTTTGATTAAACGTACTGAATTAGAATACAAAGCCTTCAAACCAAAGGTCGTCACTCGTCGCGTCAAGTTTTTTCAACACATCAGTTGAAATTTCTTTCTTAACTTCTGGGGAACCTATGCTGAATTTAAAATATGTGATGAGGCTTTTTATAAACTGGCCTGTGTCAAATTTGTGCCACTTAATACGCTGTAATACGCAAATGTGCCACTTCGATGTGTCGATATTTCTGACGAAGCGGTGCCGATAGTAATTTACGAGTTACGTCCCTTTGTTGACACTTTTCATGAACAAACTTATTGGTACTATCATATATATTATTATTAAATTATGCACCATATACTGTTATATACAAGTGGTCCAAGGACACAGTTATCGTCCTTTGGTTTTCGTTGTCTACGAATATAGTCCCTAGTGTGAACAGTGTATAACTTGCATTTTTTTTTTATACACTTTCCCAATTTATTTCTTGATATTTTATGCATGAAATATTAAGTAAGGGGATGAAATTACATGTTAAAAAAATTTGGGTGCTGAATCTTTATGTTAAGTAGTGATTTGGTCCAGTTAAAAAAGGTCAAAAATTAGAATGTCTGAAGCTGTCAAACTGAATTTTAGCCCCC